AAAAAGTAAGACTATTGAATCTATACCTCTGATGAATATCACCATAAAAATCACTTGGCTATTCACACAGAGAGGTAGTGTGGGGCCCAAATAAGCTATGGAAGAGGAGAGGAAAAACTCTTGAAAGAAAATCTTGTATTCAAACTTGGATTCTTTTCTTCTTTTTCATAGGCGGCAAGAAATTGTTTGGTCAGTTCAACATGCATAGTAAAAATTTCGGACTTTGGAATGACGAGGTACATGCTATGTATATATATGTATTTTGTTTGTTTCTTTACTCATAAGAAGGAATCTTACATTTGTGTACTGGTAAACTAAAGACACTGCTGGATGTTTTTGTCTTCCTAGGTTGTAGGCCTGATTGTATTGGCCTACTGATCTACTTTGAATTTTAGGACATACACCAATTTTAGCTGTGAGGGAAACATTTACTGTGGGCTATTCTTCTGATCTTTTAACAAAACTATGGCACATCTTAAAATTAAAAAAGAAATTTCTCAGTCCACTGAGAAAGGTGAAGAAAAAAAGCTTTTCTGATATATATATATTAGAAAAATATATATATATATAAGAAATATATGTATTTGTTCAGCTCTGATTTTTCTAAGTCCTCACCAAACATTTCTATTATTAAGTATAGTAGTTGACTTTAAGTCTACAGTTCATGAGTGTGAAAAATTTAACCATATTTTTCTACAACTCAATGTAGTTTAAATTTTGAGCATCCTTTTTTGGGAGTGGTGCTAGAAATATAATCCCAGTGAATTTGGGGTTTCTCCCTGGCTTCCCTGAGCTTCGAAGTCCAAGTTCTTGTCTCATGGGGCTATAGTACTGGTAGGGAGGTGGCTTACTGGGCCTTTTGTTATCTGTGTACATGGCATTCTTGTGGCCACTGTCCTCTGGTCTTGTCTTTGGCTAGCCATTCAAACAGGTAGCTGCTAACCCATACTGTTTTTTTTCTGCAAGATTCCTTCAGAATTGGCATTCTCTTTTTTTTTTTATTTGATGGAGCCTTGCTCTGTTGCCCAGGCTAGAGTGTAATGGTGCTATCTTAGCTCACTGCAACCTCAACCTCCCAGGCTTAAGCTATCCTCCTGCCTCAGCCTCTTGAGTAGCTGTAACTATAGGCACATGCCACCACACCCAGCTAATCTTTTATTTTTGGTAGAGATGGGGTTTCATCATGTTGACCAGGCTGGTCTTGAACTCCTGACCTCAAATGATCCACCCACCTCGGCCTCCCAAAGTGCTGTGATTACAGGTGTGAGCAATCTCGCCTGGGTGGTATTTATGATTACAAAACTCCGTGGTGTGATCTCAGATCTCATTTACCTAGGCACATCCACAGCCATTTGTTCACTGGCATCTTTCTGCCTTTCCTAGGGCTCGACCTGGGAAAAAGAGCACAGGTTCTGTTTCACCTTTAAATCCCACCAGTCTAATGTGGGAGTAGGAGCTTCTTTTCCTGCTATGTGGGTTGGGCAGCCCTTACAGGGTACAAGATACAGGACCCTAACTCAGCGACCTATTAATGTCTAGTACCCCTTTCCTTTCCCTTCTATTTCCCCTATTCCTCTGGCTCAAGGGATCTTTTTCTGGATAGTGGTGGTAATGGTGGTGGTGGTGGTGGTGAGATCTCACTCCTGTTCATGGCCCATTTTCCAAAAGATTTTGTTGATAACTCAGTCTTTCTTCTCTGAAGAGCCTAGACTTGAAAAACTCAAAATCTATAGACAATGACTTTTCTCCCTTTGTTTTCTGGTATTCGTTCTTTACCTACGTAGGATGCCCTCTGACTCAGTAAAAGGCTGATAGGTGGAGGGAGGTAGAGTATGTAAACAAAGGAGTGTGAGAGAGTAGGGGCAGCGTTAATACATGTGAAAACACTATATTGTATATTTAAGGGGAAACAAGCACACGTTGGTTTTTGTCTCTTCTCTGCAGATTCTCACATTTGGACATCCCTGTGTACAATTCTCAAAAAAGAGAGAAGGTTCAACTTGTTTGTTATTTTTTTAAGGAGACAGTAGTTATTCTTGATTTTTTTCCATATAGGGCCATTCTAATGCATTAGAGATTTGTCACATCAGAAGCATTATGTTCATATACTTGTACTTTTCCCCCTTCTCTATGCCCCACAAAAAAACACGTACATGGAAGGAAATTTGGCATCCAACTTTGAATCATTCATTTCCATTTTAAGAAGAGTGGTCTTTTTTTCCTCACCCCCAGGAAGAGTGGTCTTTTATTTCCTTTTTATAACCTTGGTGGTTATAGCATTTAGCATGCTTCTTTATGTGAGCCATGTTTTGAACTGAAGCAGGGTTATGACCTTTGGAGATCCACATTTAAAAAAGCACAATTAAGACTTAGTTTGAGGAGGAAATATTATTAGGGATACTTTCACACTCAGTACTAACAAGAAGGAGTCCACAACCTTTCTGGGGTAAAATACTTTGTCTTTTAGCAAGTCAAAGTTGACTAAAGGGATCTGAAGTAAATAGAGCTTGGAGGTAATTAACACAATGTGTTTTGAATCTGATACCTGTAGGTACGTTTTGGATGATGAGTATATCAGCTCTTTTGGAGCCAAGTTCCCTATCAAGTGGTCCCCTCCTGAAGTTTTTCTTTTCAATAAGTACAGCAGTAAATCTGATGTCTGGTCATTTGGTGAGTGCATCTGATGTTTATTTGCTGGAGCCTGATTTAATAAAATTGGCAATACGTTATTTTTAAGTTTGATTTCCTAATTCATGTAGCATTTTTTAAGTCTTCTTGTAATTGTGCTTCCTTCTATGTATTCTAACCACATCCCGACTATCTCTGTCAACTGGTGTCACATACCTTCTTATATTAAGTCTGCCTTTCAGATCTCTTCCTTCCTCAATGGGCACTCACTGTAAAACCATAACAAAGAGTCTTCTGATCTAGAAAATAAACTCAGACAAGTTTTCCACATCACAGAGACCTGAAGGAAAAATGATCTTATGACGTTGTTGAGTTTAGAGTGTAATTAATGAACGCCATTGTTTAAACTATGAAGCAGCTTGACTGTTTTCCAATTGTTCCATTGTTAACCTGAACTTAAAACCTGAGTTTAAAAAATGGTGGCATCTCATTTACTTCATTGTCTTTAGATTTTGTGGAATTTAGACACAGGTTTCCTTGGAATCTGTGAATTTATATTCATATTGGATAATGTTCTTCACTGAGAAAGAGACACCATAGACCCATGTCCAATGGAGTTTTGGGGTTGATTTTCAAAAAATGGTAATAAATATGCAAAAATCTATCCTCTTTCACCCAGACCTGACTGAAGGCCTGTGGGTTCTGGGTCCTCAGCAGGGTGTCAGTTTTATTGTCTACAATACAATAAGGTTAAAACTGGGCACAGTGGCTCAGGCCTGCAATCCCAGAACTTTGGGAGACTGAGGTGGGAGGATCGTATGAGACCAGGAGTTCAAGACTAGCCTGGGCAATGTAGCAAGACTCTGTCTTTATAAAAAAAAAAAAATTAGGCAGGTGTGGTGGCATGTACCTGCAGCCCCAGTTCCTTGGGAGGCTGAGGCAGGAGGATTGCTTGAGCCCAGGAGTTTGAGGTTATAGCGAGCCAGGATGGTGCCACTGCATTCCAGCCTGGGTGACAGAGCGAGACCTTGACTCAAAAAACAAATTAAAACATAAATTAAAAAAAAATACAATAAGGTTAAGGTTGTGTTCATTAATCTCATTATCATGGACATAAGATAGTCTCAGCAGGTGACATTTGAAGCTCTACTGAAAAGCAGTTAGGTTGTGAGACCGCATCTTAGAGACCAATGAAGAACAATGTAAGGACCTCATCAAGTGATTGCAGAACAATTAGAACTCCCTGAATTTTACATACTTGTCTCCCTCACCGATCAGTGAGCTCCTTAAACACATGGATTGATCTCACACTTATAAAATCTCCTGGTCCTAGCAGAGGCCTGGCCTCTCATCAATGTCTAGTAAATATTTGTAGAATAAGTGAATAATTAAATGAACTAAAATTGGGAATTCTTTCAGGAGTTTCACTAATCAATCAAGGATTATTGGATACCTACTTATGTACAGAACCCCTGCTAGATAACTCTGTGGCCCTGTCCATCAGTCTAATCTTTTAGCAGGAAGAAGGGGACAGAGCCACTTGCTGGCTGAAGCTCTTGGCTAAGTGGCAGCAGAGGCTCATATAATTCTGTCAGTTTCTATGGAATGGCAGAAAAGTTCATTGATTTTAGGGTGCAGGGACATAAGTGCTACTTAGAAATGAAAATGCTAGGCCAGGCACGGTGGCTCATGCCTGTAATCCCAGCACTTTGGGAGGCCGAGGCAGGTGGATCACCTGAGGTCAGGAGTTCAAGACCAGCCTGCCCAACATGGTGAAACCCCATCTTTACTAAAAATACAAAAATTAGCTGGGCGTGGTGGTGGGTACCTGTAATCCCAGCTACTTGGGAGGCTGAGGCAGGAGAATCGCTTGAACCCGGGAGGTGGAGGTTGCAGTGAGCCGAGATTGTACCACTGCACTCCAGCCTGGGCGACAGAGCGAGACTCCATCTCCAAAAAAAAAAAAAGAAATGAAAATTCTACTGGCATTTTCTCCTGATAAGGGAGACAATCAAGACCCATGGAAAAGGAAAGGCATTGTTTTAACTTAGATTATTTTCAGTTTACAGGCGTCTTTGAAAACTGAGGTGCACATGATTTGCTTCCTTGATAGAACTGGTGTTATTCAGGATGGTTATATCCTAAAATCTGGAGCAGAAGAATAATGCCTTGTAGTTTGAAATTGTTCTCTCAGTTCCCAAGCAATCATTTCTCTCTAACCCCTTGTTTTCATTTATTTTTGTTTGCAGGAGTTTTAATGTGGGAAGTTTTTACAGAAGGAAAAATGCCTTTTGAAAATAAGTCAAATTTGCAAGTTGTGGAAGCTATTTCTGAAGGCTTCAGGCTGTATCGCCCTCACCTGGCACCAGTGTCCATATACGAAGTCATGTACAGCTGCTGGCATGAGGTAAGTGTCCCTTAGTTTCCTGCAAAAGTTGGCAGTCCCAGCATCTGAGAGCAGACCTGATTCACAAGCATTACTCCAGGATGCTATCATGGCAGGAAAAGGCATCTGTGTCTTGGTCATGATCCTGAGGGTGTGACGTACTCTTTCTATCTGAAACTCACACTACAAAGTCATGAATATATTTTGTTTTGAACAATGGCGTCCTATCTGAGAAATTCAGTGCATTTTCTGAGTCTTATCTGTTTGAGATTAGTTCTTACAGAAACTCTTGGTTACTTAAGCCTCAATGATTAGATGTTTTATTAGCTTTAAGAATTAATGGGCTGGGCACAGAGGCTCATGCCTGTAATCCCAGCATTTTGGGAAGCTGATGTGGGTAGATCACCTGAGATCAAGAGTCTGAGACCAGTCTGGCCAACATGGTGAAATCCTGTCTCTACCAAAAATACAAAAATTAGCCAGGTGTTGTGGTGCATGCCTGTAACCCCAGCACTTCGGGAGGCTGAGGCAGGCAGATCACTTGAGTTCAAGAGTTTGAGACCAGCCTGGCCAACATGATGAAACCCTGTTCCTACTAAAAATAGAAAAATTAGCCAGGCATGGTGGCGCATGCCTGTAATTCCAGCTACTTGGGAGGCTGAAGTAGAAGAATCGCTTGAATCCGGGAGGCGGAGGCTGCAGTGAGCCGAGATTGTGCACTCCAGCCTGGGCAACAGAACGAGACTCCATCTCAAAAAAAAAAAAAGAATTAGTGGTGGAAACTAAAAGTATAGAACCAGATTTGTTAAACTTCCACATTGAAAAAGAAAGATAGTGTTTCCATTTACTTCACTCAACTTTCCTTTGTCTTGCTTTTTTCAACACTAATAGTGATGGGTTTCATGTCTTTTCCGGCACTCAGGAATCCTGCTGGAGATTAAACTAGAATAGGAATGGAGGCAGAAAGTGCGTCAGGAAGTTCCAGTCAGGAAGAAATTGCTCCAGAACTTAGTTTTCCTGTTTGCTGAAATGCCAAGCTTAAAGATACAGCCAGAGGGGCGTCTGTTCCACCTCTGGGCACTGACTCAACACACCTCTGCCTTTCTCAGCGAACTTCCCTGTGATTTTGAGAGCTTTGCTCTCTTTCCAGCTAACAGTTTCAGCCTAGAAAAATTACAGCTTGATGAGACGTTTCCTCCTGGGTGAAAAAATAAAGCACTTGATTATCAATCCACAAATAATGGAATATTGAATATTTTAAGAATGATGTGGTTATTCATAGTCCAAGAAGCATTACATTTATAGAGAGCCCCAATATATGAAAATATTTTACATATATTAACTGCTCTACAAGGAATCTTAAAAGACATAGAAAAATGTTCAGCAAGCTGTAAGAAAAATGTATAGAAAAATGTTCAGTAAGTAGTAAGAAATAGCTGTTTTAGGAGTATCTTTGCCCTAACAGTGTAAGTAGCTCAGAAGCATATGTTGTGTATGAAACAATACACATGTAGGTGTGTGTGTAATATAATACTTATTGAGAGGTTGTGTATCTGTGGAGCTGAGACAGAGAAGGGGAAGGGAAGTGATAAGTAGGGTGCTGTCAGAAGGCCTACGTAAAGAACGTTAGTCTCAAATTGCAGTCAGAACATTGATTAAAACAATGGTGTGGTTATGTTGGCTTATTTGTTTGAAAACGTTGATTTATTTTTGAGACAGAGTCTTCCTCTGTTGCCCAGACTGGAGTGCAGTGGTGTGATCACAGCTCACTGCAGCCTTGATCTCCTAGGCTTAAGAGATCCAGCCACCCCAGCATTTCTGAATAGCTGGGACCCACTAATTTTTAAAAATGTTTTGTAGAGATGGGGTCTCACTTTGTTGCCCAGGCTGGCCTCAAACTTCTGGCCTCAAGCAGTGCTCCCACTTTGGCCTCCCAAAGTGCTGGGATTACAGATGTGAGCCATTATGCCAGGTGCAAAAGTTGATTTTGCCTAAAACTTTACCCCGCTTGCTTAGGGGATTAGAGTCAAATTGGATTATATTATCATTGAAAGACACATTTCAGAGCTGTATGCACAGAAACTCAGGCTCCTCAGAGAGCTCAGCAATTTATTCCCAGAGTCTGAATGAGGACTCTCAAATGCACTTCTGCTGTCTTCTGCTCTGTTTATTTTATTGATGCTCTCTGTTTATAAGCCATGGAGAGGGGTGTCTTTCCACTGACACTGCTGTCAGTGACACCTACGAAAATGTGGCTACTATGAGTAGCTCTGTTTCCCATGGTTTTCAAAGACACTGACAATTCCGTCTCTTCTTCCTCACGGAATCAGAGCCAAACGACAGCCCTAGGTGAAATATAGGAAAAATCCTCCAATCCCTGGCTCCATAGCCAGGGATAGGGGGTCACTTATGGTGAATATCTTCCTATAGAATTGCTGACTCTTGAAAACTGTGCAAAGAACACAGGCTTTTAAAACTTTTTAAAATGTAAGAATATGCAGCAATCATTTTCTATGGCTGAGAGGGACTTCCACACTCTTATGTTTCTGTTGATGGAGACTAAAGACGACACAACCTGTGCCCCAGGATCTTCAGGGTCCCTCATGAAAACATGCCTTTTGCTTTCTGACTGAAATCCTCCTTTCTGTAGGCGCTCAGGTATCATAGATACCTCAAGCTGAGCTTGGGAGCCTGGTGCTCTAGATGTCCCTTCTCCCAGACTTTTCTTTACCTCACACATGTCAAGTCATCCAAATAGATCTCCAGGGTAGGGATGTCCTAGAGAACTTCCTGCAATGCTGAAAACGTTCTACATCCACGCGGTCCAATATGGCAGCCACTTCTGGCTATTGGGTACTTGAAAAGTGGCTAGCATGACTGAAGAACTGAATTTAAACATTTATGTAATCTTAGGGAATTTAAATTTAAATAGCCACACATGGCTAGTGTTTGCAGGTCTAGCCATTTTATTTTTGCAGCATTCGCTAACATTTTCATACTCATGCCTCACTCAACTGCCAATCATGCTGTGGTATGTCACTCAAGATAACTTTCTCTTCCTTTTTGGGGAGAGCCGGCCTGGATTCAGGTCTCTGCCAGCAAGTTCTAGAGCTGATCTCTGAGTGATCCTGGACCCATTTATGCTGCAGGTTGCAATTTTTTGAATTTTTGCATGAGTGAAAAATCAGACCTTGGTGATGACCTTGAGCATTAGGATATAAATAACTCCCACATGTTTAGCGTTCCAAAAATGGAACACTTGGCATAAGTGGGTTAAGCTGAGCTAACCAACCACATCTCCCTTTTCTAGAAACCCAAAGGCCGCCCTACATTTGCCGACCTGCTGAGGACACTCACAGAGATTGCAGAAACCTGGTGACCTGAAATGGAATGCCAACCCAAAGAATCATCTTGCAAAACTGTCACTTATTGTGAATATCTTCACCATATGGGGACACTTATGGTGAATATTTTCCCTTAGAGTTGCCGACTCTTGAAAGCAGTGCAAAGATCACAGGCTTTTAAAAATTAAAAAAATTTAAGACTATTCAGACAATCTATGTTTTTCTATGTGTGACATGGACTTGTACACTCTTATTTTTCTGTAAAATATTTCACATCTCAAATGTGAAGAAATGAAAAAGGCTTCACAGCAGTCTTCATAGTGACTGCTCCTCATGATCATAGCCACAGGAACCCTTAAGGGTACATGAAAATCTGACCCTTCACAAAGCTTAGAATGCTTCCTTCTTCAAGATGAATGACATTCATCACTCCAGTGATCCATGCATAGAAGATAAAAATAAATTCCGCCAACTCATGGGATAAAGGGGCCTCCCTTGCAGAATTTCATGCTTTTGGTCTGTATAGATCTTTGCAGAAAATGCACCTTTGTAAACCACATGAATGTTAGCATTCTGGAAATGTCTTTTGTTAATATAATCTTCGTATATGTTATTTATCAAATTGTTTTTGCACATATCTGATCATACTGACGGCAGTTTTTTTGCATGTGGGTTTTAAACACTGTTACAGGATGTAATTTAAGCTCATCTTTGAACAGATCCTGGTGACATTCTATTTCCAGGAAAATCCAGAACTTGATTTTAATTCTGTGATTTTATACTTTTTGCATGTGAGATTGGACAGTTTCAGAGTTTTATTTTGTCACAGTAAGTGCCTTTGTAATTTTCAGGAAGGCTTGTTCTTTCCAGAAGAGGAGACAAAAGCAAGATAACCAAATGTGACATCAAGCTCCATTGTTTCGGAAATCCAGGATTTTGAATTTGAGATGAAACAACCAGCAATTACAGTTAAATCTTAACTTTGCCTGCACTCTTTGTAGGAATGACCAGAAATTGATCTGTATTATTCTGAGTGCTTCAGGAGTACCATACGAAGAAACATATTGGAGAAAGCACAAATGTAATTACCACGAAGTCTAACAATAGGAGCCCACTATTTGCACACTTTCCCACCCTGTATCATGGTTCTGTGGGAACAAGTTTATGATCCTCATTAGAGTTTAAGTTGTTGATTGTCAGTAGTTGTGACTTTTAAATTATATTTCCCCCACTCAAAGAATGGTATCTTTATATATCAATGACACTCAATAAATGTGTATTATTTCCAGTGAGAATCAGGTACAAGAAGAGACTTGATAATTCAACTGGTGGTCTCAGAAATGTTTGGGCCGGGTGTGGTGGCTCATACCTATAATCTCAGCACTTTGGGAGGCTGAGGTGGAAGAATAGCTTGAGCCCAGTTCGAGACCAGCCTGGGCAACAAAGTGAGATCCCCTCTCTATAAAAGATTATATATACACACACACACATATATATATATATATATGTATATATTAGCTGGGTATAGTGATGCATGCATGCATGCATGTAGTCCTAGCTACTCAGAGGCTGAGACAGGAGCCCAGTAGGTCAAGGCTGAAGTGAGCCATGATTGTGCCACTGCACTCCAGCCTAGTGGATAAGCTTTTTAATGTGCTCCTGATTCAGTTTGCCAGTATTTTATTGAGGATTTTCACATCGATGTTCATCAGGGATATTGGCCTGAAATTTTCTTTTTTCTTTGTGTCTCTGCCAGGTTTTGGTATCAGGATGATGTTGGCCTCATAAAATGAGTTAAGGAGGAGTCCCTCTTTTTTATTGTTTGGAATAGTTTCAGAAGGAATGGTAATAGCTCCTCTTTGTACCTTTGGTAAAATTTGGCTTGGAATCTGTCTGGTCCTGGGCTTTTTTTGTTTGGTAGGCTATTAATTACTGCCTCAATTTCAGAACTTGTTATTGGTCTATTTAGGGATTTGACTTTTTCTGGTTTAGTCTTGGGAGGGTGTATGTGTCCAGGAATTTATCCGTTTATTCTAGATTTTCTAGTTTATTTGCATAGAGGTGTTGATAGTATTCTGTGATGGTAGTTTGTATTTCTGTGGGATCAGTGGTGATCTCCCCTTTATTATTTTTTATTTTGTCTATTTGATTCATCTCTCCTTTCTTCTTTATTAGTCTGGCTAGTGGCCTATATATTTTGTTCATCTTTTCAAAAAACCAGCTCCTGGATTCATTGATTTTTTTGCAGGATTTTTTTGTGTCTCTATCTCCTTCAGTTCAACTATGATTTTAGTTATTTCCTGTCTTCTGCTAGCTTTTGAACTTGTTTGCTCTTGTTTCTCTAGTTCTTTTAATTGTAATGTTAGGGTGTCGAGTTTAGATCTTTCCTGCTTTATCCTGTGGGGATTTAGTGCTATAAATTTCTCTCTAAACACTGCTTTAGCTGTGTCCCAGAGATTCTGGTATGCTGTGTCTTTGTTCTCACTGATTTCAAAGAACTTATTTATTTCTGCCTTAATTTTATGATTTACCCAATAGCCATTCAGGGGATCAGATTGTTCATTCTCCATGTAGTTGTGTGGTTTTGAGTGAGTTTCTTAATCCTGAGTTCTAATTTGATTGCACAGTGGTCTGAGAGACTGTTATGATTTTCATTATTTTTCATTTGCTGAGGAGTGTTTTACTTCCAATTATGTGGTCTATTTTAGAATAAATATGATGTAGTGCTGAGAAGAATGTATATTCTGTTGATTTGGGGTGAAGAGCTCTGTAGATACCTATTAGGTCTGCTTGGTCCTCAGCTGAGTTCAAGTCCTGGATATCCTTGTTAATTTTCTGTCTCATTGGTCTGTCTAATATTGACAGTTGGGTGTTAAAGCCTCCCACCATTATTGTGTGGGAGCCTAAGTCTTTTTGTAGGTCTCTAAGAACTTGCTTTATGAATCAGGGTGCGCCTATATTAGGTACATATTTATTTAAGATAGTTAGCTCCTCTTGTTGCATTGATCCCTTTACCATTATGTAATGCCCTTCTTTGTCTCTTTTAATCTTTGTTGGTTTAAAGTCTGTTTTATCAGAGACTAAGATTGCAACCCCTGCTTTTTTTTTTCTTTCCATTTCCTTGGTTAATCTTCCTCCATCCCTTTATTTTGAGCCTATGTGTGTCTTTACATGTGAGATGGGTCTCCTGAATACAGTGCACTGATGGGTCTTGACTCTTTATCCAATTTGCCAGTCTGTGACTTTTAATTGGGCCATTTAGCCCATTTACATTTAAGATTAGTATTGTCATGTGTGAATTTGCTCCTGTCATTGTGCTGCTAGCTGGTTATTTTGCCCATTAGTTGATGCAGTTTCTTCATAGTGTCAATGATCTTTACATTTTGGTTTATTTTTGTAGTGGCTGGTACTGATTTTTCCTTTCAATATTTAGTGCTTTCTTCAGGAGCTCTTGTAAGGCAGTCCTGGTGCTGACAAAATCTCTCAGCATTTGCTTGTCTGTAAAGGATTTTATTTCTCCTTTACTTATGAAGCTTAGGTTGGCTGGATATGAAATTCTGGGTTGAAAATTCTTTTCTTTAATAATGTTGAATATTGGCCCCCACTCTCTTCTGTCTTGTAGGATTTCTGTAGAAAGATCTGCTGTTAGTCTGATGGGCTTCCCTTTGTGGGTAACCCGACATTTCTCTCTGGCTGAGCTTAACATTTTTTTTTCCTTTATTTCAACCTTGGTGAATCTGACAGTTATGTGTCTTGGGGTTGCTCTTCTCAAGGAGTATCCCTGTGGTGTTCTCTGTATTTCCTGAATTTGCACGTTGGCCTGTCTTGCTAGGTTGGGGAAGTTCTCCTGGATAATATCCTGAAGTGTGTTTTCCAACTTGTTTCCATTCTCCCCATCACTTTCAGGTATACCGATCAAATGTAGGTTTGGTCTTTTCACATAGTCCCATATTTCTTGGAGCCTTTGCTCATCGCTTTTCATTCTTTTTTCTCTAATCTTGTCTTCATGCTTTATTTCATTAAGTTGGTCTTCAATCTCTGATATCCTTTCTTCCGTTTGATTGATTTGGCTATTGATACATGTGTATGCTTCATGAAGTTCTCGTGCTGTGTTTTTCAGCTCCATCAGGTCATTTATATTCGTCTGTAAACTGGTTATTCTAGTTAGCAATTCCTCTAACCTTTTTTCAAGGTTCTTAGCTTCCTTGCATTGGGGTTAGAACATGCTCCTTTAGCTCGGAGGAATTTGTTATTACCCACCTTCTGAAACCTACTTCTGTCAGTTTGTCAAACTCATTATTTGTTCAGTTTTGTTCCCTTGCTGATGAGGAGTTGTGATCCTCTGGAAGAGAAGAGGCATTCTGGTTTTTGGAATTTTCAGCCATTTTGCACTGGTTTTTCCTCATCTTCATGGGTTTATCTACCTTTGGTGTTTGCTGTTGGTGACCTTTGGATGGAATTTTTGCATGGTTGTTCTTTTTGTTGATGTTGATGCTATTGCTGTTTGTTGGTTTTCCTTCTAAAAGTCAGGCCCCTCTTCTGCAGGTTTTCTGGAGTGTGTTGCAGGTCCACTCCAGACCCTGTTTGCCTGGGTATCACCAGTGGAGGCTGCAGAAACACAAAGATTGCTGTCTGCTCCTTCCTCTGGAAGCTTTGTCCCAGAGGGGCACCTTCCAGGTGCCAGCCAGAGCTCTCCTGTATGTGGTGTCTATCAACCCCTGCTGAAAGATGTCTCCCTATCAGGGGGCATGGGAGTCAGGGACCTACTTAAGGAGGCAGTCTGTCCCTTAGCAGAGCTTGAGCACTATGCTGGGAGATCTGCTGCTCTCTTTAGAACCAGTAGGCAGGAATTTTTAAGTCTGCTGAAGCTGTGCCCACAGCTGCCCCTTCTTCCAGGTGCTCTGACCTAAGGAGATGGGATATTTATCTATAAACCCCTGACTGGGGCTGCTGCCTTTCTTTCAGAGATGCCCTGCCCAGGGAGGAAGAATCTAGAGAGGCAGTCTGGCTACAGTGGTGTTGCTGAGCTGCGGTGGGCTCCACCCTGTCCGAACTTCCCAGGGGCTTTGTTTACACTGTGAGGGGAAAATCCGCCTTCTCAAGCCTCAGTAATGCCAGCTGCCCCTCCCCCCACCAAGATCCAGCATCCCAGGTCAAATTCAGACTGCTGTGCTGGCAGTGAGAATTTCATGCCAGTGGATCTTAGCTCCCTGGGCTCTGTGGAGGTGGGATCTGCTGAGCTAGACAACTTGGCCCCCTGGCTTCAGCCCCCTTTCCAGGGGAGTGAAGGAAGGATTCTGTCTCACTGGCATTCCAGGCACCACTGGGGTACGAAAAAAAAACTCCTGCAGCTAGCTCAGTGTCTGTGCAAATGGCTGCCCAGTTTTGTGCTTGAAACCCGGGGCCCTAGTGTCATAGGCACCCAAGAGAATCTCTGGTCTGTAGGTTGCAAAGACTCTGGGAAAAGCATAGTATCTGGGCCTGAATGAACTGTTCCTCACAGCACAGTCCCTCACAACTTCCCTTTGCTAGGGAAGGGAGTTCCCCAACCCCTTGTGCCTCCCAGGTGAGGCAATGCCCCACCCTGCTTCTCCTCACCCTCCATAGGCTGTAGGATGCACCAACTGCCTAACCAGTCCCAGTGAGATGAACCAGGTACCTCAGTTGGAAATGCAGAAATCATCCACCTTTTGCATTGGTCTTGCTGGAAGCTGCCCAATTTTTAACTATTAAGATCAGTGTTGCTATGAACATTTTTCTACATATCTTTTAGTGAAAATATGTATGTATGATGGTTAATACTGAATGTCAACTTGATTGGATTGAGGGATACAAAGTATTAATGCCAGGTATGTTTGTGTGGGCATTGCCAAAAGAGATCAACATTTGAGTCAGTGCGCTGGGGAAGGCAGATCCACCCTTAATTGGGTGGGAACCGTCTAGTCAGTTACCAGCAAATATAAAGCAGGCAGAAAAAATGTGAAGAAGCGAGATGGGCCTAGCCTCCCAGGCTACACCTTTCTCCTGTGCTGGATGCTTCCCGTCCTCAAACATCGAACTTCAAGTTCTTCAGTTTTGGAATTCAGACTGGCTCTCCTTTCTTCTCAGCTTTCAGACAGCCTATTGGGGGGCCTTGTGATTGTATAAGTTAATACTTAATAAACTCTCACATATACATATATGGAGATATTATTATATATATAACATATATAATAGATATATATAATATATATATCTATTATAATATAATATATATAGTTACACTATAATAGATATATATATTATATATAATAGATAGTATATAACAGATATATTTATATATCTATTTATATATAATAGATATATTTATTATATAATAATTATATAATAGATATCTATTATATATAATAGATATTATATAATATATAATAATATAATATATAATACATTATATAATATACAATTGCTTATATATATAACTTAT